TTATATTTGTCAATATGTTGTATAAGAGATTGAATCGTTTGACCATAAGGAAGAAGTGGTAAGTTGTAATAAAGAAGGAATTTGTTGAAACATGTATGAAGATCATAGGAACTTAAAGATGTTGAGAATGATCTTCTGAAATTGTCTTCTATAGGATCGATCACCGTATGCTCGGCTCTAACTACTATGCAAGGTACCAAAGTCTGCTCTGTATATTGGGTCTGACTATCATAATCTTGACCTTCCATGTAAATAGGCTTTACCGCCTGCCTACTTACATCATTTTTTCTATTAACTACTGTGAGTATATCATTTAATAGGATGGTGACTGCATCTATAAGGTAAAAAATATAATTTGAAGTTATATAAAATATAATTACAATATAAATATATATTGTTTATATATTTACTAATTTAAATAAAAAAGAAGTTTAATAAAAAAAGTAGTTTAATAGTATAAAAAGTAATAGAAGAGTTGTAAATAGTAGAAATAATATTAATAGAAACTAAACTAAATAAAATAAAAATAAGAAAAAATATATGTAAAAAGTTATGCAATTTAAAATTATTAAGTACAGTTAACCTTTATTAATATTAATTTTATTAATATTTTTTTTACTAGTCTTTTTGAGCTTAAGACTTTTTTATTTAGTATATTAAAATATAAGAACTTAATACTAAAACTTTAATTAAGTCACCTTTATATTAAATAATACAACTAACCATATATATATTTTTTTTAGTATCTAATTTAAGTAGTCTGCTGATAGTTCTATATTAACTACCATATTTGCAATTCAACTATAAGTATTTGTCTATTTAAACTCTTTATACTACAATTCTCATTGTTTTACTAAATCATTTCTAATATATAAATCAATTAAAAAGATCTAAATGTTTTTTCATATTTTTAAAAACTATATCTTATTTTATGCAATACATACTCAAAAACATTATTAATAAAATCTTTTATGTTTTATATACAGCTAACCTAATTTTATATAATATATTATAGTTAACTAATACTTGCAGTCAGAACTAATTTTAAACTATTATATTATATTATTTCTACTTTTATAAAGTTTACCTAAATCTTAATATCTATCTTTCTAATATTTTCTTTATCTTTCTTTATAATTTACTTCTAATAGAATTCTTAACTTCCAAATTTCAATCTAAATAACCTGATATAATATACTTTTGTATTCTTTTCCTTTAACAAGTTCCAAAAACCTAATTGGTTATATGCTCCTTTATATATCTACAAATTGCATGTAATTTTGATTTCAAAAACTTATACAAACCTACTGTTATGAAAATGATGTAACCTTTTAACATTAAACTTTTCTTGTGTAAGTTTATAATAGTTTAACTTATATTTAGATAATGATCGAACCAATATTATACTTTGACGATCATTACAATATTTTATAGTTAAAGTCTAATAGCATAATAATTATTTAGAGTTTTATAGTTAGTATAAAAGAAGGTTTCTTTCTTGTACTAGTTAGGCTTTTAGGATATTTCTCTTGTTTTGGTGTATTGAAGTAAATTACGGGTTTTGTATTTAGTGCTTGCGGCACTGAGTTGAAAGATATAAAAGCTCTATCTTGCCGTAACACCTACGTAAAATTACTAAAATTATATAAAATTATGGTAATTTTTCAAACCCTAATTTCACTTAATGGGCGGCCACGATTTCATTAGCAAAATTCGAGCAATTTTGCCTAAATTTTTGATCGCTGCCGTTGGCGAATTAAAATAGTAAATTTACATGTTTTTGCAAGGTTTATTCGCAGTGATTACATTGAACACGTCCTTGGTTAAAGCTTTCATTTGGTCCAATTTTTGTAAAATGATCCCAAATGTCATTATTACCACGCATATTAGATATATACGTGTAAATGGTATGCAAATAAATAAATGAATTCTAGTTAGAAATTAGCTAAATATGTATTAATGCTAGCCAGTTGCTATGGTAACGCCAATCAGCTAATCTTATTTTGGGATCATATTAAAAATCCCGCTCGCGGCCATCTCTAATTATACCAAAATTTAAAATTTAATCACCAACTATGAGTCATCCGATCAATAGGATATTTAACTTTATGTATTAATTGTCCAAAGCGTTAGCTAGAACTTATATATCAGTATTAAACAGGTACCTACGAGAAATCTACCTTGAGATGATGTGACACCAATATAAATCGAATACTAATTTTTTACAGCATCAATATTCGAATAAAATAAGGTATGACGATAAGTTAAATACAGCTATTTGCACAAATTCTATAACTTGCAAGCGTACAATTAGTCTGTATAGAAGAATAATTATTTAAATTTAATAAATAAATTGCAGTTATTGAGTTTCACGTTTTTGTAAATTAACATTAGTTATTAATAACAATAACATACCTAACGGTGCACAAAATTGTGGCATCACATATACTGATATTTGTCAGCAATCTATTTACCAAACGAATTTAAAATCTATAGCAACGATAGTAACAATCAGTTATGATCTGAAAAAACGAAAATTTCTAACCACCAAAAAATTGCGCTAGAATTGTTCTTAATTTACCAGATTATGCGGCATTTACTAGATTTTATACTTTAATATCTAGTTATTCGCATATAAAATTGATTTGTCCAGGTCTATTCACTATAAAAAAAAAAATTTAGTTATACTATAACTACAAGTATATACAAATTAAGCGACCAATAGTAATGAGTTGCGTTAAAGAAAACTAGCTTCAGTAATCCTCCGCATAGCCACAGAGACTTCCAGTTGGTAAAGAATTATTCTTCAGGATGATTCGATTCCCGGAAACTTCTTGACCACCCAGGGAAGTTACATACAGATCCATAAACGATTCTCTGCGACCCTTTTGGCAGAAACAAGCCTTATGTTTTAGGGATATCACCAACATTAAAAGATAGCATATTTCAACTTATCTTCTCAGAGTGAACATCCCCTACAAGAAGTTTCAACTGCTCTAAGGAATTACATAGCCGACTCTTCCTTTTGAGCCGAAGTCCTTAAAGCAAAAGGACATAAAAATCATCACTACTGACAATTTCTATACAATTATAAAATAATTGTATAGGCAACCCGCTCGTATGACTAGAGCTGGGGAACTTAGTTTCTCGGAAATTACTTCCCTGTCAGACCATTTAATCGAATATCGAATGAATGTGCTGTCAGAAAAGTAACCTTCGAGAAAATAAGTTCCAGAACAGCATGGTTTGGACGTAATGGTTAGTCTACGAGGGCTGGATTGCATTGCGATAGGTGTCGTAAAGTAAAACCCGTAACTAATTGTAAGAATACATGCAGTTGAAGCTACTAAACTTGAATAACCCAACTACATATAAACATACATATCAGTTACAGGTTTTTCCTTTCTACGGTATGCATAATGACGGATGCATACTTTCGAAACTTAACATTAACCCCTCTTATTTTCTATTGATTACACAACAGCATATATACCTTTGTCCATTGTATTAGCCAAAAGAAAATAAATCGTATATATCGAATGAAATTTGAGAACTGATTTCGAACTTCGTGTTTATGAACTTTTCTCTTGTAAAGATCGGAAAATCGAGAAACCTATGTTTAGACTCGCTGGCCACTAATAAATAACAAATAAATAAATAAGTTTAACAAATTAAAAACGTAAAATAAAACAAATTATAATTAAAAATTTATAGTATCGTCACCTAGTGTTACGGCCTAAACCCTTTACCGAAGTCCGAAACGTTTCGGCTTTTGAGTTTCGGTTTCGCCCAAAATCCGAAACTGGGCGAAACTAGGCGAAACTTGATCAAATTATCATATTACGTGACGCAGACTTCGATGCAACGATTTTTTAAAAGTCACGTGACCGCTGCATTTAAAATCGACCAATGGAATTTCTAAAAATCCCATTGGTCAATTTTAGGTGCAGTGGTCATGTGACTTTTGGAAATTCTATTGGTCAATTTTATGTGTGGCAGTCACATGACATTTAGAAATTCCATTGGTCAAATTTAAGTGCATAGGTCACATGACTTTAAAAAACGTCATATCGAAGTCTGAGTCACGTGATATGTTAATTTTGATAGAGATAAGATCAAGTTTCGCCAAGTTTCTCCCAGTTTCGGACGTATCGGACGTTTCGCCCAGTTTCGGAAGTTTCGCCCAGTTTCGGACATTTCGCCCAGTTTCGGGCGTTTCGCCCAGTTTCGGACGTTTCGCCAGTTTCGACTTGGCACCTTGGGCGAAACTAGGTTTCGGAGGTTTCGGAAGTTTCGCCTGGCCGAAAGTTTCGGTTTAAGCCGTAACACTATTCGACACTACTTTAGACTTTAGACACTGTTTAGAATTTCGAAGTTAATTTAGAATTTTAACATACTAAATATCGAAAGTCGAAATATTTCTACATAGCTTAAAATAATTTCGACTAACAACACTAACCCGTACATACTTAATAAACTGTCCTAGCGTTACCAACCTAAAATACTTCGCTATCTGGTTAAATTTAAAATTTGAGATCAGGTGTAGCATAAAATAAAATTAACCTAAACCCTAACCTAGCGCTTGTAGCGAAACTTTTTAGGTTGGTAACACTAGGACAGTTTACTTAATACGGTAGCAACTAGTGATGATTTTTCGCTGTGCTGACTGTGTGCAGCACACATGACCAAAATTTTGTGCACATATTCTTTTGAACAATATGCGGATGTCGCACAGAAAATTAACATTTTGTAAATAGTGCGCACAGTTGCAAACAGTTGCTCGTAGTTTTTCTTAACTGAAACAGCCTTCTCATTAACATTGTTTTTGGGAAAATTGTTTTTATTTCATTTTTTCAACTTGCAATGGCATCAATTATAGATGAAACATATTCGTCTAAGCATGATTTATATGATGCTCTCCTTAATACATTATTTCCAATCACCTTTGTTATTTTACTTAATGTCAAAAATGAAGAGAAATCTATTAAAAATTTTTTCTTGCCATTATTAGACGACATATTATATAATATGGTTACTTGGGCGATTCCACTAATAGTTTCCTTTACTTATGGAGATACGTCAGATATAATGATATTTTCAATTATAAACATGTTATTACATGTATTTTGCGCTGTTTCCGCAATAGTTTATGCAATAATTACGCCTAGAAAAAAATTACATGACCGTGATTTTTACGGATTATATTTTAGTATTGTTGTATTTTTAATATTGTTTCCAGTGATAATTATTCCAGTGTTTTGGATTATTATCATTAGTAGACAAACTTTTGAACCAATTGATTTAGTATTTCTTGTATTATTTGTAATATTGTTAGTTGTCGCAGTTCTTGCTTGGTAAGTATAGAATTCATTTATCAAAGAATTTCTCATTGAATTTACCTCACTCACCTCATACTACTAGTAGTAAGTATAGTTTTTATCATAATCAGTTATTATAATAATTTTTCATTAAAATATTATTTATCTGTTCTTTTATTTACGTATTAAACTACCAGTTTGTAAGTATTTATAAAACGAAGTACACATTTTACTATCAATAGAATTTGACATTAAAATATTATTTCTCTATTCTTTCACTCACGTGTTAAACTACTAGTGCGTAAGTATTTATAAAACGAAGTACACATTTTATTATCAACAGAATTTCACATTAAAATATTATTTCTCTATTCTTTCACTCACTTGTTAAACTACCAGTTTGTAAGTATTTATAAAACGATGTACGCATTTTATTATCAAAGAATTTGACATTAAAATATTATTTCTCTATTCTTTCTCTCACATATTAAATTACCAGATGGTAAGTATTTATAAAACGAAGTACACATTTTATTATCAATAGAATTTGACATTAAAATATTATTACTCTATTCTTACTCTCACGTGTTAAACTACCAGTTTGTAAGTATTTATAAAACGAAGTACACATTTTATTATCAATAGAATTTGACATTAAAATATTATTTCTCTATTCTTTCACTCACGTGTTAAACTACCAGGGCGTAAGTATTTATAAAACGAAGTAGAAATTTTATTATCAATAGAATTTGGCATTAAAATATTATTTCTCTATTCTTTCACTCACATATTAAACTACCAGATGGTAAGTATTTATAAAACGAAGTACACATTTTATTATCAATAGAATTTGACATTAAAATATTATTTCTCTATTCTTTCACTCACATATTAAACTACCAGATGGTAGGTATTTATAAAACGAAATACACATTTTATTATAAATAGAATTTGACATTAAAATATTATTACTCTATTCTTACTCTCACGTGTTAAACTACCAGTGCGTAAGTATTTATAAAACGAAGTAAACATTTTATTATTAATAGAATTTGACATTAAAATATAATTTCTCTGTTCTCTACCAGTTGGTAAGTATTTATAAACGAAGTACACATTTTATTATCAACAGAATTTGACATTAAAATATTATTTCACTCACTTGTTAAACTACCAGGGCGTAAGTATTTATAAAACGAAGTACACATTTTATTATCAATAGAATTTGACATTAAAATATTATTTCTCTATTCTT